GCTTGCCAGACTCTAAACAACGGTTATTATGGAAACGTTTTAATTTCACAAACTTCCACGTCCATTTTCAGTCCTTTAACTGCTAAAATTATAGCCTATATATCGCACACCTAGATCTAAACTGAGACAACTCAAAAACTTGAGTGAGTTTTGACTTTGTACAATATTCAAATACTCGGTGATCATACGCATCTATCCAACATAACAGATTCAATAAAGGTTCGGGGATGAACCGCTAGATAACTTTAGCTTTCTTTTGTTGAATCAATAATGGTCGCGCTCCTGCCACGTAAACAAATGTATTGTCAAACCTCCAAATTAGCTTTTTGAGTTGTCTTAGTTTAGATCTAGGTGTGCGATATGTCCATCGCATATGAGGTAGCTACCTGTAAGCGTTTTTTTTTAAATCAATCCAGAAGTTTCGGAGCCTACTCGAAGCAAACAAACATAAAAAAAAATACAATGAAATCTTTCCTCTTTAAAAAAAAAATATTAATGGTTTTGAAATCGACAATATCTAAATTGTCTTATAAATATATTTATTATAATGAAAGTCTTAATAAATGAATATTTAGGACCACAGAAAAGTTATTTGTCAAATTTCATGCAATTTATTTGAAGATTTCATTAAATCAATAGATTCGTTAGGGAATTATTAATATTGAATGCGAAATTGAATTAATATATCTGATCATTGTGGACCTAGATGGCGCAGTGGTTAGGCGCAATAAGAATGAGATGTGGAAGCTAAGCCACTTTTGAAAGGACTGGTCATGGGGTGGGTGATTAAAAATTTATTATCTCGAGCTCCTCTGTGCTTCATCCTGGCTGCATCCACCAGTTCGCACTGGGCAGTAGGGAAGGACTGTGGCCCAGCATTGGGAATATTAATAGGCTGATGATGATACTTAATAATCATACACACAATTTTAAATTATCAAAGATTATGTTTGTAAAAGGTATTTCTACCATAAAGAGTCCATATACGTTCATTGAAGACAGTAAACCAGTAAACTCAATAAATGAGCTTCCACATTATACACAGAGATGTTTTTGCTGGCAGCACTCATTACACCATTTCCTCCCGCGCTTTCTTGAAGAAAATTAAAGTCACCGCATTAATTCTACCCGTATGTTGCAACGTTTTTGCGTCAGTTACCGCGACGTTATGGCGGTTGGATAGTTTTTGTCGAGCCAAGACGTCTCCGATCTTCCCAGAGAGCGGACACTAGCAAAAAGTCGCCAAGTCTCGGAGTCTGGAATCCATGCAAAAACAGCGACCCCGCAATAACCGACGACGACGATGAAATACTATGAGTTCCTACGTTTTTACGCGACCAAACGCTTTTTCAGCGCGTAATTTGCATCGGACGCGAGACGGCCATTTTGTAGTTTTTCCCGCGTTCGCGTTCCCAAAATTGCGTTACAATAAAAAGTTACTGATGAAATTCTTGTTTGGGAATGGGAATATAAGTATAATGATATTTTTAGATATAGTCTGTTGCTTTCGATGTATAATCAGATACCTTCGTGATTTCCAATTATCATGGAATTACCAATTGGAAATTTTAAGATAGAGAAAAATCTTATCGGACCGGATGTTAATTTAATCTAGCGAATAAATATCAATCATTTATCATACAGTAAAGTTCCAATAAGAAAATATGTAAGCATTTGAACTTTATTTTTTTCTTAATAAGTAATTAAATAATTTCTCTCAAGAAACTAACTTTACGTTTTCCATAATCATTAGCAAATTCGGTACATCAAATCTGTAATAGTTAAATAGTCAGACGAATAGTTAGTATGTGTATTCTCTTATACCTAAGTTAAGGATATTATTTATCACTACATTGGAGAAAAGCCTAAGTATTAATATCTATATAATACAGGTATAGCTTTTCAGATAATGGTACGCGACGCGGCGTTAACAGTGAAAAATAGCCCGCTGGAAAATCATAAAGAAGTCGTAAGGAGTTTCTCCAGTGTCGCCAGATTTAAAAAAATGGCATAATCAAGCTGGTGTTAGTGGACGTCTCTAGTAGAGGCGAGGCTAACACCGTGGGAAAACGCTGCGAGAGTGGCTTGTTGCTAGTGTAGGGCCGATAAATAGGCGAACACACCTAACTAATAAATATATTAGACAGCATCACATACGTTAATCAGATTCCGAGTTGAATAGATAAAGTCTCAGGAGTATCTGAGATTACGTAGGTACCACAACACCCAAACACCAGACGATATAGAAAAGTTCATTTTCTACAGGTCCTGACCGGGAATTGAACCCGGGACCACAGAGAAGGTGATAAGTTGAAACCGGCGTGCGAACCAAGTCGTCGTGTAAAATAAGGCTCAGTGGTTAGAGCAGTCGCCGGGATTGCGAAAGGTCATGGGTTTGAGTCCCATCTCAGAGTGACAGGGACAAAGTGGAATATTTAAGCATTTTTTCATTAATAATTTTTTTCAGTATAGCACTGTGAATGCAAAATTGATAAAATATAAGCAATCTACATAACAATAGAAGACTCGAACGCCGGTTTTATTGTGTCCATTTTTGGGTACGAAACCCGGTCGGGTCAATTTAGAAATGATTTTTTCTATACTGTCTCGGGTTTGGATTTTATGTAACCTTGTGCGTTTCAGATTGGCACTATGTAAGCGTTTTAGCTTCTTTATTTGGGATCTGATTAGGTAATGCCTGTTTTAAAAAAAAAATTGGGTTATTTCAAATGTTAGTACTGAAACTCTGATTCGGCCCTAGCAAAAATTTTCCCAGATTTTTTATTAAATTTCGTAATTAATAAAAATTCTGGGTTAAAGAAATCTAACTCATTTCAATTTGGTTATTTTTTTTATAATCTATAGATCCTGTACGCATCGAAGACGCCGTTTTTATGGCCTCAAGTTTTTCTGTAAATAATATCGTAACGACAGTTAAGGTAGTGTAGGTTTTTCCTGAGCGGTGAAAGGTTGTAGCGACGCTGGCTAGCTGGAAATATGTGTATGCGATGATGGACCGGGCGGCGCAGCGGCGTGGCGGACCTAGGCTGTGGGAACCTAAACCGTTTTGTGGAAATCGGGGAAACTCGCTAATGCATTTCAAGCTGCAAATTAGTACAGTCATTACGCTTCTACAATTCAGTCCGGTTATTAAAAAATTATATACTATACATTTCAATTTTAAATAGTGATATAGGAATAGGTATACCTAAAATTATCTATCTAAAACCAGGGATTTTCACATTATTTTGCTCAAGAGAGAGACTCCTTCCCAAAATTAACATATTTATCGATTTAACAACCTCGACGTTGGTAACCTAGAGGAGTTCGATGGTATGGTGGTTGACGAGTTTCGTTTCGGAAGTTAAGTAACTTTCGTAAAGGTGGGTGAAAAAATATATTATTTCGAGCACTGCCGTGCTTCGGCAGGCATATTAAGCCGTTGGTCCTAATTGTGTCATGAAACATTTCCCCTATTCGATTTCGAAAAATATTTAGATTCCATCTTTTACGAAACCAATAAAATAAAATGCGATGAACTCACAGAATATGGTTAAGCTGAAGCCAAAAATTGGTGCAACTTGAAATCTGTATTTGTTATAAGCTGGCAACTCGGCACTTTTTTATTTATACACATATACTTGATGAGAGATATGAAAGTATTGTTTCGTCAGGGATTTGGATAAGTTAGATTTGCTTGCTATACCTAAGTTGTGCCCTGCCCATATGGGATAAAAAGAAAAATAAGTTAATGGTGCCCTAAGCACTACTATTAGAAGTAAATATGGATAAATCAAAATATAGCTGTATGTATTCAAAAGTGAAAAAAAAAGTCAATTAATCATTAAGTTAAAGAGGATAAATATGGCAAGTTACGTGCTCCAAATAACTTCATGGAATCGCAAGAAATCGCAAAGAGCGGACGTTCCGTGAGGTTAACAAATTAAAAATGATAATCATTTTCAAAAAGCTTAATTCCGCTCACAACCGAAAGTTGTTTCGGGGAATCGATAAAAAAAACTACAAAATGGCGGACCGGCTTGACCTGCAAAAAACTGTACTACGAGATAGGGTAGAAACTAATATAACATCTGACGAATTACTAACTGTGAAGGCGGATTGGCTGTTGTATATATTTATTTTTATGTGCAGCTGATACTTTTTTAAATATTTAATTATAATTTTGCAATTTGAAATTATACCACCTTACTGTTCACAAAACTTATAGTTTATCCAGATAAAACGAACTTTCCGATTGTAACAGAATCATATCATATCATGAAATATCAGTATCATACAAAAATGCTTAAAAAATATTCTTTGGCTCGACTCGACTTAGCTACTTTACGTTGTCTGGGCGAGTGCTCTTCCAACTGAACTATCTTATGGTTGTTCAAACGTCCATTATGATTTAATGATGCCTTTAAGCTCTAATGAATGTCAAATTTGTATGGGTAACGGTATTTTAAAGTAATGAGTATTTTAATGGACGTTTGTGCAACTAGCTGTTAGAAGAGCATTTTTGGGCATCAGTTAGTGAAACGTTGTACTATTTTTTTTAATATAAGCCCAACATTATTGTATTGCTTTGTGAAAGCTTGTAAAATTGATACAGAGAAGTTTTTCAGGTTTTATATATAAATAAACGACCGTGATTTATTAAAGACATTCATTTTAACCAGTCTCGAACATAATTAAATTCAGCGTCTACTCTCACCGCTCGATAAGTGTAGGGAAAAAATTTTAAATTGGTAAAAAGTGGACCCTCACGTCTTCCAATGCATATAGACACATCGAAACGCATACATCGACAAAAGCACAGCACGAATGCTTTATGTTCTTTTTTTATGTACGGTTCGAGGGCAAGGAAAGCCGTGGGGCCACGTGGAGGGGTCGCGTGGGGTGCTGGGCGGGGCGATGCAGCTGCAGCCCGTAGGGCTTCGGTGGCCCCGATCAGTCGAGGCGCGCACGTCTCACCGCCACGTCACGGCCACCACACAAATTTGCCGCCAAAACTTTCGGAACAGTTGCGATTAATCACGTGACTGCGCGGAAATGAAAACGGAAGCATAGACAATACATATATATAAAAAAGAAAAAAGTTGTGATTGCCAGTCATATTGTTGAGAAATGTTAATTTCGATTGACGTTTCGTAAATTTTGTGAAGTTTTTGAATTGGCGGGTGTAGGGTTGATGTGTGCGAGCGAGAAGGTCGGCATGGAGAGTTCGGGTGAGGAAACAGGACGGAGTGCACCCCCCGCGCCGCACACACCCTCAGTCACACAACCGAATGGATCCAATAAGATCATCGGACGAAATGTGAATGGAACCAGTAAGTCACGTCGTTACAGCAATTAACACGAAAAATTAACTGAAATTCTACTAACAGTAAATTAACTCTAAAAATTCGTTTAAAATTTGTCTTTGGGTTTACATCTATTTAGGGGCTTAGAACTTCAAAGTCAACTTGTAACACGTTCTTAAAGTTGTTTAGCAACGTCATTAAAACAATTAACACAAACTAAGTAAAATTCTTGTAACAGTCAACAATTGGCCCAAAAAAATCTCTTAAAATTGTCTTTGGTTTGGAATTTAATTGTGAAAACTTCTAAGCTAACTGTAACACGTTCTTAAAGTTGTTTAGCAATTTATATTTAGTGGCTTACTTATAAACATATGTTTATAATACCGGTGCAAAAATAATTCATATATGAATTAATGTACAATATTCATAGAAAGAAAAAGAAATCCTTTCTTTCTTAATAACTAAGTTGCTGTGCTTTACCCAAATTTTTACGAAGAAAATAAGTAGATTTTATATAGACTAAAAAAATCCATAAAAACAAAAAACAAAGAGTAGGTGACTTATCTACTCCTTTTAGTATTTACTTATTTAGCTACATCCTGAAAAATAACATTGGATAATTTTCATTAAATACAGGGGAAAGTTATAATTCAAAGCTCCAAATATGTTTGAAAAAGAATATTCTTACGACATTTTTATCGATTTTTTTTTGTTATTATATAAAGTGGTATATTAATGAATATCCCTATGTATGCTTATATTATATTCATAATATAAGCATACATAGGGATATTCCTCTGTCCCTATATCCCTATGTATGCTTATATTATATTCATCTTCCATCCCTTTATATTTTGGGGTTGGTTGCCTAATTATCTAATTTATAGTCTATCGCAATACCTCTTAAGGTGATTATGATGTAGCGTTAAAAGTCGCAATCGTTTTTGGAACAAATGATGATTTAAAAATGAACAAGAAACATATTAAAACTTAGTAAATTCAAACTTAACATGGCTTCTGCCTAACGCATAGACATTTCTTATTAAAGTCAAATTATCAATATCGTTCATTCAATATTTAAAAAAAAACAACGCGTTCGCAAACGCTGTCACATATCAAATAATTGTAGTGTGAAGTTCGTGAATATGTTTCAAATGTCTTGGATTGCGATTATTTATAATAGCTTTTCTCCTTTTTTTATCTTCACTCTGCGTCGCTACGTTGTTCTATCTTGGGTTGTCGCTAATGGCAAATAGGCTTGCTTGAAGACTGCCTCTTTTGGTCAGGTAGGTTATGCGATATCTGAACTACATGATCTTCAACAAATTTTCAAGTGTCTATACCAGCGGAGACGGTTTCCGGTCTTTATTTCTGTTATCGGTGGTACCTTGAAACTAATCAAACTTAATTTCATAATCTGTACTACACTATACCATATACGGTAATAGTGTTCTTGAATTATGCATCTACATAAAACACATGATATTAAAAGTAATAAAGCAGAGTATTTATAAAAATATTTATACAAGATTAAAGTTACTGAAATTAAAGGACAGTTACCAACTAGAATTCTATTTATTTATATACAAGAATTAAACAATTAAAATGTCAATTTAACTAGGAGAAAATAATCACGCTTTTGACGTCAAAACCAAGCAAACCGTAAGCGTCACAAAGCGCCAAATACAAAAAGATTTCCTATTATATTAATTACTAGCTGTTTTCCCATGACTTCGCACGCGTAAATATGTCAACCCTGTATGATGTAGCTACCCTTATGTAAAAGAATTTTAAAAATCAATCCAGTAGTTTCGGCGCCTATTCGATGCAAACGAAAACATAAATACAAACCAACAAACACTCAAATCTGTCCACTTTATAATAATTACTATAGATTCACTTCTATCCTTTAAATACATACGTATAATCGCCATAGAACATATAACATCCTCTTTATCGATTTTGAAGTTGATAAAAAGAAAAACTGATTGATTGACTAACGCACTACTGAAATTACTAGGATTAGAAACTGAAAATTTTGTACTGTGCTTATTTTATAGTGTATGTGAGCAATATGTATGGATTTTTATAAATTCGCCCCTTATGGGAGTAAGTTTGTATGAAACTTCGTCAGTTTTAAGGCTAGACCGATAAAAAATTGCATTTTGATGACAGAAATTAAGTCTGACAATTCAGGTTGAATAGAGAAATGACAATGGGGCAAGTTTGTATAGTCCATTTATGAATGACGTCAGATTTACTTGAAACTTTGCAAGGGTTTGAAATCGCGGGCAAGAATCTACTTGCTTGCTATATCTATAATATACTGATCTGATTGTGTAGCTCAAGAACTTTCATATATTTTATTTAATCGTGTGTCGAAAGTAAACATAACACCTTTTCTATTTGTCCTCGAACGGAAATTCGGAAAATTTCGTATTATTCTTATAATTTTGTTAAAACTATATTCGTGAAGTAAGATTATCTGTGCATCAGAGATAGAGACAGGTTCTACCTCAGTTGCATCATAAATTATTGAAAATTACGTTTCTTTGGGATCCTTTTAGCATTTTGAAAATAGACGACATTGCGTTTTCGGAGAAATAAAATAGGCCTTCAGGTGTAATATTAATTCGTGGGAGTAGTACATCTTTTTTTCAAGCACTTATTCTTCTCCAGATTTCTTTCTTTGTAATCGCTTTTCCCCAGAAGTTGAAAAAGATACAGCAAAAAGATAGTACGATTCAGCGCTCGGTGGGAATGGTACGCAATTTGTGTTTTTACAGTACCAGGCTCTTTGTCTCGGGTTTTTACTGGGTCTGGCTCTAATGTGCATAGCGCGAGAATGCATCGAGATCTTGCTAACAATTGCTTTTTTATGAAACACATAAAAAATAAGTGTGTTATGATGAAACAAAGAGAACGGTAATGAGAATTACTGTCTTAGTTATACATCGATACATTTTTTTAGGAAAGTAATTTCCTTGGGAGTGACAAAGTAGTTGAGGGGTTCGATGACGGAGCGGATAAGTGTTTGGTCTAAGATGTTAAGCAACTTTTGCAAGTGTCGGTCATGGGACTGGCGATCAAAAAGTATTTAAATATTTGATTATTATTATTATATATTTTTTTATTATTATTATATTAATTTTAAACATTTGATTATTAGATTCTTCTGTGGAACTCACGATAAGCCATTAGTTCCAGCTACATCTGTAATCATTAACACACAAATCTGTAGCCTAATTGTATAATTTCAAAGTCTATCGTAATCCATTTAAAGCTATAACGATTGAGAAAGTGATTTTTGATATTATGTGAAGTTTAAAATCGCAGTCGCTTTCGGAACAAATTACTATTTGAATGATCAAGAGATATAATATAAACTTAGTAATTCTTATTTACGGCTTAAGGAGTTCAACGTTTGCCTTATACAATTACAATTGACGTTAAATTAACGACATTTACTAACTAAAAAAAAACATTAAGATCGCAAATCGTTATCACATGCTAAACAGTGGTAGCGTCAAGTCTGTGAATATATTCAAAGTCCAATTGGACAGGATTACGTTGGATTTTAAAATAAGACAATTAGGACTTTGGTCTTGGTATCGATGAAAAACATAAGAGGGACTGTGCCTTAACAGCGCAGACGATAATACGCAGATGATGATTAATGAATTTCAGTGGAAAGTAATAAGTGTAATAATATTTTTTATTAGTTAACTGTTATAATAGTAGTCTTATAACTTTCATCCGAAATTAGTATTTAAATCCAATAATAGAAAAATTGCCAACAAATTCTATTATGCTTGTATCTAGATAGATAGAAAATCATAGAAGTATATATATGTAGCTATAGCTCAGTTAACGGCGCAGAAGATTCTATGACTTGTCTCTTTTACATCCAGTTTCTGAATTAAGAATATAAAGTTAAGCACGTCTCAAACCGTACTTAAGCCATCTTAAACGTTTTAAACAGTTTTTCGTTTCTGATTTGATTTTTTTTAATGATCAGTTGATAGAAGTTTGATAAAACTAGGACCTTTTTTGACTTTGACTCACTTGAAACGTAAAGAACTTAAGTTATTGAGAATAATCCGTTGAGACCGGCCGTAAGTCCTTCGAATGAGATGAGTGGCCTCTGAATTGACTCCTTTTATTACTGAAACGCTTGTGATTATAAAGATAAAGGAAATGAGACAATATCAATAAATAAATGAAACATACAGAGCCAGATGATGTCGTGTTGAACGTAATGAAGTTTTAAAAATATTTTTTTTTATTGTAACCTTGTAAATTGTAAGTTGTTCTTGGATACAGATTGACCTACATATTTACCAATCTATACTAATGTTAGAAAGAGGTAAACTTTGTTAATTTGTAGGGGTTTAAAAAAAACTTTTGTGTGACATTAAAAATTACTCAACTAAATCAATGAATGAATTGCTGATTTCTTAAAATGAGAAAAACTGTTATTTTTTTGCAAAACTGAATTAAAATTTAAGATTTATGCTAACAAAGTTGACAGGTTTGCAACGAAGAAGGTAATTATTCAAAGTGGATGCATAAAATGCATGTTCCTCAAAAAATATACGAGCTCCTTACCTACCGTATATAATAATATGATGTAGTAGGTACGACAAAACAAACAAAACGTACGTTTTAAAAAATCAGGTCACACGTTTCAAAAGAGTTCTGTAGATTTTAAGAAGGAACTTCGTATAGTTAAAACGTCAAAGTATAAAAAACAACAAATTTTCGTAACTTCATGTCTAAGTTTGTCATTGGCAGGAAAATTGTAATGATTTTCAGTATGTAGCTATTAGAGAGTGTTCCTGAAACTTCGCCCGAGCTTACGTCCCCCGCATATGATGTAGGGAGTTCTAACAGTTTCAGAGCCTATTCAATGGTTTATGTAATAGGTATTAGGTTAGGTAGTTTATATAAAAAGGCAAAAGTAATGGACTGATAACCTATTGAACGAGTCGAACTGTTTGGTACGATATTATTACGACATAGAGATCTACTAAGAAAAGATTTGAAAATTAATATCTTAAGGGGTTAAAACAATAAGGGTTCAAAAATCAATCAACTTACATGGGGTAAACCATCATCACAATGATATCTTATCATTATTCAAACACAAATTTAAAAGACCACAAGAAATAAGAGTATATGACTTCGATATTTTTTTTATAAGTCCAGCATTTTCATTTCATTTTAAACAGAATATTATTTTTACTCGTAGTAATATTTTATTAATAAAGAAAAATATTTTATAATATTATTTGGCATTGATATATAGTAAGAGTGAACCCTAAAGCATAGTTAAAATATACACGAGTCAGGATGATATGAAATCTGCATAATATGTAGATTTGCTTGCATTTTACTTACTTGTGTACGACTATTTATATGATTAGTCATACTAAAAGTTCTTCTAAAATATGTTTGATCAAAACACAACGTGTGCAGATTAATAATCATTTATGAAGGATTCCGTCGTAAATGTAAAATTGTTCGGTGCTATATTAGAAAATTGAACTTTTAAAATTAAGTTTAAGTGTGTTTATATACCCATTGTTCGCGTCTCTACTTTATCCAACAGCTTCAAGCTTCTCAAACGTTATGAAAAAGTTACTTTATTTATTTATAAATATTGTATTTACACTCAAGCAATATTAATTGGAATTTGCGACTGTTTTTTAATTATTTTAGAGTATAACTCAACTTTTTTTTACTAATTCAAGTTACAGTTGTAATTATGTAAGATTTTATTATCTAATCACTAGATAATTGTTTATATCATCACACCGTATCCCTAGCGGAGTAGACAAAATTATTATATTGGATAAATATTCTCAAAATGAAATTTGAAAAAATAATAATTGAGATATATTGAAACTCCACCTTATAGAGTTAATCGGAACTAAGTTAAAGAATCATAAATTCTATAAATAAAAATAAAGAGTTTTAAATGAGACATAAGATGTTTTAATATTGGTATTCGGCAATTTATTTATTTTACCGTTAAAAGGACCTAATAAAAAAGCACTAACATTTCATTGACACTCCCCCGCACGCTTGAAACAGCACATTCAATTCGAATAAAGAACACTCGGTTACGCAAAGATGCGTTCCAAAACACCAAACGTTCCGTCTGAGTTTTTATACTTTTTTTAGACGTTCCTTTCATCCGCACTTCTTTCTTGAGTTAGCTTATTTAACAATACCATACTGTGTGAATATGCAAATCGTATTTAATTGTCTGCTGGGGTTTTTTTTTTCATGTATGCGTCTGTACAGTACACCTCTATACATTCGGAGTGACGCATCTGTCATTTATGATATTAAAACGGTCCGTTTGCCACATTATAACGTCGACGAAACGACGCTCTGTAATGACTGGCGGTTTTTTACCAGTCCATCCACTGCAGGAGCTGATGCGGACTGTTTTTAATAATGAAATATCTCGTAAGGAATGAGGTCTGGCAGTTTTTCAGATGATCGCCTCTCGTTCTACGGTCGATAATGCACCTCTGAATTTTCATGAGTGCAATATTTATCGTGTTGACGCCATTATGGCGGCTGGCACAGCGTCCTTTCCATATACCCTTTATTTAGATGACAAAAACTGTCGCCGACAGCGCGAATATACCTTTATCGTATCGGTATTTTTTTTATCGTTGTTAATTCCTCAGATAATGGCCGGAGTCAAATGACCGGGCGGCAATAAGAAACTGAGGGAATTTCAGCGATGCCCGAGCAGTCTTTTAAGCGTATTTTTTGCATGAGCTCGCTTGTTCGGGCGGCAGTTCGCTGAGTTTTTTGTCAGATACCGATGAAAACAGTAATGGCATTTTATCGTGCATATGAGCGAAGGGAATCATTAATTATTTATAATAAGCGGATAGCGCCGAATCGCCATATTTATTTTTGGCCAGTGTGTTCTACGATATTTTTTCATGTGTGGCTATTTTCGCGCGTCGCGATGCAGTTCGGTTTGGTAATGATCGGTCAGACTGTTTTTGCTTCGATCATTGATTGTTGCCGGTCGAAAGTAGGCTATCGTGAGTGAACATTAACTCCGATATGTGGGCTGCGGTTTCAATAAAAAAAAAAAAATCTTGCGATAAACAAGTAATTATGTGTTGAACCAACGTATGTACACCTATAGTATTCGATGTATGCGCGATTACCATAAGTAAACGAGAGCGTATTACACACAGCAGGAAGTTAGGTTAATAACAAGAAGCAACAATTTATTTTAGAACTGAAATTTCACCCCTAAACCTATTAGCGTGTAATAAAGTAAAATTTAACACGCGCTTAAATATGTTAAAATTGATTTTAAAAATAAATATATACGCGGAGTTCTGATATGGCCGTAATTTAATTTACAGTGCTACTTATAAACAAGGATTAGTGTTAGAGTAAATTTTCGATTTTAGTATTAGTCCATATTCATATTACACAGAGAATAAGCAAATCTACTACCTTCTAGGAGCAAATATAACCTGGTACTAGGTTAACCTTTGTTAAGTCTCTGTTTTTTTAATATTAATTTTGACTAATACGAAGAGCAGTCTCAGCGTAAATTTACTCCAACGCTAAATCTTGTTTACAAGTAGCACTGTTAGAAAATAAAAACTTAAAACAGTACTTAAATAAACTGCCTTATAGTTTTATAAAATAGACTTAGCGTTTGGTATGTACACACATGTCACTAACTATTTAAGTATTTTTCTAAAAATTTTCATGAAAAAATACACCAACTGTGTGAACCAAACCTGTAATTAATTTTTATATAGCTTCTTTTGTGTATGCTTCGTAATCTAGCACTATTCTTATCTTCCTTGTTATTATTTCCTTCCTTTCAGCTTTTATTACCTATCTTTATTTTTACTTTCACTCCTTTTCCTTCGA